CTAAAACTTTTTTTAACCTAGCAACACTTTGTCTTCATTCCTGAGTAACAAGGCTTTAAATCAAACACCTTTCAAAGAACTAATTTATCCTTACAACAAATTTTTGAGGAGGGTGTGAGTGAAATACTATCTCTGTATTATAGATAAGAAAGCAAGCCCTTAGTATTTTGTATTTTATTTAAAAAAATTTTTTTTCATAGAATTTTAAGATAATCTATAAAGGGAATAGTATAAATGAACCCATCTGTCCCTTCACACATTACCGCCACCATAGAATTATTTTGAAGCAAATCCTAGAGACCACACCATTTTACTGCAAACATTACAATTGTCATAGTTAAGAAAATTTATAGCCATATTATAGCCAATGTATCATCAAAAACCCAGACAGTTTTCAAATTTCCCAGTCTTGTAATTTATTTTAAACAGCTTTTTGAATCAGGATCCAAATAAGGGCCATACATTGCAGTTAATTGATTAGGTCTCTTAAATATCTTAATCTATTGACTTTCATTCTCCTCCCCACCACCCACTCCATCCTGACACACACACATTTTATTTTTTGAAGAAATTGGACCATTTATCCTGGACAATGTTCCATAGGTCTGGGTTTTGCTGACTGCATCTTCAAGTTGTCTTTTTTCATCTATATTTGAATCAGGTTTAGGTTTGTTGGTTGATTGGTTAGTAATAATGTATCTTAGAAATTACTGTGTACTTATATTTGGAGACATATAATATGTCTGGGTGTACCACTCATTAACATTCATTGATGAGTATTGCTTAGATCCATTTATTTCATTAGTGATTGCAAGCTGGTGTTATTTTAACATACAGCCTTCATTTATTAGCTAGGAATCCTCTACATCATCAGGTGTTTGGTTGAGGTACAATTCTTATAGGAAAGACAGGATAAAGGCTTGATATTTTGCACTTATATACTAGTTACCAAAACAATGAGGTGGTTCCCTGGCATCCTTTAAAGGTGACCAATGAATTAGTTTTAAAATATCATTATGAATTTATGGATTTAAAGACATTTCATGCATCAATCCATTATCATTGTTATTGATGTTCAAATTGCCCCATCTTTGGCTACTGGAAGCCTTTTCAAGGTAACTTGAGTTCTTCTGATGCAATGATCTTGGATTCCCGGTAGAACAAGATGTTCTAGGATCATCCTATATATATATCCTGACCCACGCTCGGAATCAGCTATTTCTCTAAGGAAACCATAAACTGGATACATAGTAGACTTTTAGGGTCATATTGTCAAAAGTAAGTTAAGAAATAATTAATAAATCTCTTCCTGATCTGGTATCTTCCATTTCACAGAAATGGAGAGATGAAGTACAGTTTTAATTCAAAATAATGAATGACCTAAAGGAAACTTCCTTTGACTTTAGAGTTAATTTTGTTACAATATCAGCTTCTCAGATTATATTGTTATGTATTTTACTTGGCTTTCTCCTGGTACCTACCATCTTATGCTGAGGAAGGTTACAGTTTAATATGTGCTGATTAACAATAAAGTAGAGCCAGTCAAGAATTAAAATGGCACAGTGAATAATCTCAGATCTATCCACAAATCAATAAATGTTGACTATAAAGGATTCAAATTAAAAGGTTTGGGATTAGCAAAAGCAAAGCAGGAAATTCTAACCTTTTGATAGAACTCTTATCTCAGAACAAATTTCCTCATCTGTAAATTAGAGTTGTATTAGGATTACCCCTATAGTCTGAGTCTATCAGTGTAAAACTTTTTATCATTATCTGAGTTGTTCTTTTCCTAGATCATTCATATTCATCAAGTATTTTTCAATCACTTAGTGGGTACCAAGCAATAATTTAGGTGGTAGAAATAGTGGGGGCAAAAATACCCATGTTTCTTTTTTGTATCTGTGAAGAAGATACATCCCTCATCTATACATCCTGTGAACCTACAGTAATAACAGTCCTAAAATTCACCTTGTGTTTTCTAATTCATTCCTTCATTGTTTGAGAAGTGAAATCCTGAGCACTGTTAATATACTTTGCCTACGCCAAAAATCAGCTTGCATAAACTTTCTGACATTATTGGAAACTTTGTTTAATCACTTTTTCTTTGACAAACAGTTTTTTGGTAGAAAAAAATCCCCATTAGTTAAGTTATTCTGGATGATAAAATACAGAAGTTAATCCAAGTGATCTGTATGTCATCTGTACCTCTTAAAAACCTCTTGTGTTTTAAAAATTTAGCAGTATTTATGGTTACCAGAATTAACAGAGTGTACATTGTACAATATTTATATATTATTGCATTATATTTTCTTAGAAGGATATAAATGATCCAATTCATCTAATTTGCTACATAGCTATTTTCATATGAAATGGTATCTTGGTGTTATTAAAAATGTACATATTCATCTTTAAAAAGTCACACTTAAGAGTTAAATCTATTTTAAGCCTATATACAAATGGTAGTCAGAAGTTTGTATTAAGATGGATTTGAGAGGGGAGAAGCAATATTCACCAGTAAGATTTCATACTTTATTATTTGGGTTTTTTAAAATACTAGCAGCAATAGAAGGTTTTTCTCCCCATTGTCCCACCCAGTAAGTCAGCCTTCAATTAGTCTTGTAGAGAAACATATCAAAGATTCTTCCTAGAGTTTACATTATTCTCTGCTAGTGATAATAAGCTTTTTATTTAAAGAAGTTGATTACATGCATTTTTAGTCTCCAAGGATGCCATTTAGGGCACCATATTTTTGCATCTGGTAAATAATCACTGAAGAGTTAATTCATAGATGTGTATTACCAAGGCATAGAAGTGCAAAAAAACTTCTTTATAAAGTTGCAGTATTGGCCCTAAGTCCACTACAATCCTCTGAAAATGCTCATATTTCCACATTTTTTAAATTACAGGATAGACTGTCTCTAAGAAGTCCTTATACTTTGTGATACTCCAAAGTTTCAAAGTGGTGTTGCTACTTTATACAGCATACACTTTTTCTCATGTGATTTTTGAGTAAGAATTCTTTCCTTTAGAAATAAACTTCTTATGTAGCCCCCCTTGTCTGTGGGGCATATGTTCCAAGACCCCCCAGTGGATGTCTAAAAACCACTAAACCATATATACTATGTTTCTTTCTATACATACATACTTATGAGAAAGTTTAATTTATAAATTTGGCACAGTAAGACATTAACAAAAACAAATAAAAAAGAACAATTATAACTATACTGTAAATAAGTCATGTGGATGTGTTCTCTCAAAATATTTTATTGTACTGTGTACTGTACTCATCCTTCTTGAGATGATGTAAGATGATAAAATGCCTACGTGATGAAATGAAGTGAGATGAGTAACATAGGTATTGTGACATAGTTTTAGGCTACCCCTGGCCTTCTGACAAAATGTTAGGAGGTTCAGCTGCTTCTGGACCATGGTTGACTCGGGGTAACTTAAACAGAAGAAAACAATACTGTGGATAAGGGAGAACTACTGTATGTAGAGATCATCTGCCCATAGTTACCCATTTTTCACTGGATAGCTTTCCTTCCTAACTCGTTGCTACTTCAGTAATGTCCACAGAGACATCATCATATGTGTATGTCTTTTTTGATGTGTAACTGTTCATAGTCTCTCTTCACTTTATACTGAATGAAGTGAAAAATTTCTTCCCACTCTTTAATCAGCTTTTATAACTGCCAGGCAAACACTCTTTTGTACACACTACATACAGTCAACTTAATTCTGTTCCTCTAGAACTGCTCTGCCCAGTACAGTAGCCACTAGCCACCAGTGGCTATTAGACACATAAAATGTGGCTGCTCTGAATTCATATGCACTGTAAGTATAAAATACAGACTGGATTTTGGAGATTTAGCAAGTAAAAAGGATGTAAAATATCTCAAAAAATGTTTGTAATTACATGTTAATATAGTATTTTGGATATGTTAATCTATATAAAATAAGTTATTTAAAATAATGTTACAACTAATTATTAGGTAATTATTTTCACCAGTCTTATCTTCTTTAATGTTATTACTAAAAAATCATATATTACATATGTGGCTCACATGGTATTTCTAATGGACAGCATTTCTCTAGCATAATGTAATATCAGTCATTATCCAGGCAGCCACATCCTTTCTTTGCAGTAGGTAGTAGATAGTCCTGTTCAGACATTTTTCCACAAGGTTCCTTGGAAACTATGTGTAGTTGCTAGCTTGTCATGTGGCATCACCATGTCTGTGTGTAACTAGGTTGTTCCCTTATACACAGACAAATAAGCATCGACCCAGTGTTCTACCTAGTATTACCCAGATAAAAGGTTCAGGCTATCGGCATGAGTGGAACCACTGTCTTTGTTGTAGAGTGCTACATTCAGCACTTAAAAAAAAACCCCTCCATCAGGAGGGTTATATTACTTTATGGATCTTTAACTATGAGCTTTGTAAATGAATTTTACATGTGAAATAAATGTTAATGAGGAAAACCTGTTTTGCTGCAATAAACCCTAAGATACCATGTTACTGCTTTAACTGATAACCCTGTATATTATGTATAAATATTAGAATAAGAAACATACTTTACTGATTCTTCTATTTTATTACTGTTAGAAATATAGTTAACATAATTCACATTACACTTAAGACATGTTGTACTTGTTTAATTGCAAATTGTGAGATGTATATAAAAGAAAGCAAACCCTGAGACTGAGAGATCAAAACAGAGGTTGTGTTTTAATCTCCTGTGAATTAACATAAGTGCTATATGTAGCATACTTTGAAACATTACTCAGTATTTTTAATATAAAGCATTTTTTTAAAAAACATTCTAGATTTTGGTTTGAATATTGAAAGTTCTCTCAATTACATATTTTAAATTTCAAATGAACAGCAATAAAATTATAATTGCATCTGGTATAAATATGGCAGCTAAGCAATAAAACATTTATTTGATCATTACAGAAACATTTTCTTGTAAAACACCAATTTTGTCTTAATTTTTAGGAAACCAGAATTCGGGCAATGAATAAAGATGCCAAAAAAAGAATCCTTAGTTTCTCTGTCATCAACCCTGTTGCTGGACAGGCTGTAACTCATATTTTTACAGCTGACAATAGAGAAGATCTTCAGAAGTGGATGGAGGCCTTCTGGCAGCATTTCTTTGATCTTAGTAAGCTGCTGTTTGGATTTTCTAATAGTATATTCATGTCGTATGAAAAGATGCACATAGCAATCTAAATATTAAAATGATATTATAATCTTATAGTTTATATCAAGAATTTTTTATGCTCTTGAATAAAATGGTAGTATATCATCAATACATGCTTTTTTTCCTCAACTTTCCTATAGTGCCTGACTGACTATAGTATATTCTATCATTGAATTCCTAGTATTCCTCCCTCTTACTTTTAAGTTTCCCTGGTACCTAAAACAATAAGACCATTTCCTTTAAATATTAGGTTTTAACTAAAGGCAGTGTGTTTGATCAAAGGGATAAGAAACCATTTGAGTAGTAAAAAACTTCTGTAGGATTGTGATGATACTAAAATATTCAAATGTTCAGAAGAAGACTCATTTTTATGTAACCTGTTAACTCCATATTCGTTATAATATTATCTTGATCATCATCCAAAGGAATCTTTTTTAAAGATCTTTCAATTTCAATAATACAGTCCAATGACATGGAAAAACAGTGTGATATTAATGTAATAGAGTTGTAGTATATAAAATATGTGAGGTTCTAATATTCTCAATTTAAGGAAGAATTTTATCAACAGGGAAATACTGAATTGTATATTGAAAATGTAGGCTCTTGATAACAGTAATTTCTAAGCAAACTAAACATACTGTTAGATTGAACTAGTATTTTTATGTCTTTAGGATGTTTTTCTAGAGAATTACAAAGTAGAGCCATTTTCAAACAACAGAAAATTATTTCTGCATCTCCTTGAAATAATCCTAGAGTCATTTTAAGGCTTCTTACAGCTGATTTCAGGAACTCTATAAAAGGGTTAATACTTGCCGTCCTCAGACTAATTTTTATAAGCCTACTCTGACCCACTGACTGGTAAAGTATTACAGTGATGGTTGGGGAGAGGGCAAAAAAGGTAATTAAATTTATTGATTACCTTCCACATACCATATGGCTTCATTTATTTCTTATAACAACCCAACGAGGAAAAAATTATTTCCCTTTGCTCTAGAGATGAGAAAATTCAGGCCAAAAGACGTTTCTACATTACTGCAGGGAACTACAGGACTCCCTCCATGGCCCTTTAGGACTCTTTAAGGATGTTTTTTTTATGTTATCCCTAGACACTCAATAGATGTTTCAATATTTGTTCCATGCTTATCAGCACTCACTGTGTTTCTTTACTTAAAATTTCAGTTGATCTTAGGTTTATAACTTAAAAGACAACAGCTTCCTTTGATTTGTTGATCACAGCTAAAATTTTAACTGCTTTCATAAGTGCCTAGATTTAGAGAGTCTGTCTTATAAAGGACTCTATTATTTTCAGAAATGATTTTGGTATTCTATAATTTTTATGTCTATAAAACAGGAAGAAGGGGTAATGGAAGATAAAAATGCTAAAATATTATAGTCTAATGCTAAAAATAGTCTAAATGCTAAAATATATATAATATATAACCAACTGCTACTAGATGGTCTAATGTTTTTATTCTCCAGCTTATACACAATGATTTATCATGCACAGTGGGGAGTTGGAGGGATAAAAATCTAATGACATTTTTGTACTGCCAAAGTAATAAGAAAGTGATGACAACTGGGTTCTCTGGCCTGGCTACTTCTTTAGTGTTTTAAGTTTTGGGGATAAAACCTGCCAGCCTATCTAGTTTTTAAGTATAAATTCTACTACATTTGCACTTTAGAATTCCTTGTGTAGGAAAATATGAAGCAAAGATGGAATGTTTATCCTAATAAAGATTGACTTGTACTTTAAATTTTTTACCTTCCCAGTGTAAGTGGAGCCTCTTGTCATCTTAGGTGAAATGTGATAGGTAGGGCAAAGTAGAGGATAGGTATTTAGGCCAGAATAAAATAAGAGTAATTTAATATTTGGAGCAAATTTCAATTATTTAACTACACTGAAGAGTAGAAAATCAGGGATACAAGCTGATTTCAGAACTCTATAAAAGGATCGTAATTGGGATAGTTAGAAATTGTAAGAAACATTAATTGAACTAGGTCTGTTTAGCCTGTGGAAGAGCAGCCCGAGGAGAGGAGGTTGGGAAACAAGGGGGATGTAATAGCTAATTTTTAATATTTGAGAGCTCACAAGTATGTAAATGAGAAGCGACACTTGTTCTGGATGATCAGAGAGGATAGAGCTAGGAATGATGAGTCCAAGGTAAATTTTTTAAGAAATATTTTATAACATGAATATTGAGTTACATAAGTAGCTTAGTATAACAGATCATTCTGACTGGGAACATTGTAACAATAAATATTATTGTGGGAAACATCTTATCATATAGATTTCATGTGAATAAAACATATCCATTTACTATTTCATAGGGCCTTTATTTTTATGAGAGCTTATTAATATCATGTGTATCTGTGCCTACTAACTTACTCACTGGTAAAATAAATGTTTCCACTGTGAAGCCTTGACCAGTGAACATCCCACATTTGTACCTCTGACTTCAGTAACACCTGGGATAATGTGGCTTTATATTCCAATATTCAACATGATTAGTATTCTGCTACAAGTTTAACAATGAAAACCTTTCATCTATCAATATAGAGAAAATACTGCACTTTGTAATTTGTCGTAAGATATGACAGAGAAATGTTTGCTAGTTTAAAATGTTTCATTATTTTTCCATTAGATAAGGCCTTTTTTTTTTCTGCCACCAAGAAAGGAAAGCAGGCTTTTATATATTTATCTTAAAAAGGAAGTAGAGGGGAGGAATAAGTTATCAGATCTCAGATCCTACTAGATTTAAATGCTGCAGACCAACCTTTGTAGCCTTAAACTCAAGTTTTCATTCCCTTTATGAGTTGCTGTGGTGGTTGTTTTGAAATTTTTATCATATTCTATACTTAGCATTGTAATAAAACATACTAAAATGTTATGTTTCTTAACTGTTTAAGGTGATGGATTTAAAATTTATGCATATTACCATGACAGTATATTAGACTTAAAAACAACAAAATGAATACATGTTTTGACTAAACATGAAATGTCTTTAATTTTTAAGCCATGGAAAATACTTTTAAGTTGAATGTTGAACATGGAGATTGCGAATTAATAGAACAAAAATATAGATCATAAAAATCATTCTAAGAAGACACATGTGTGTTACATTTACTTTTCTACTGACATAAGATAGAATATAAGAATGGGGAACTTCAATTACTCATAAATATCTAGACTCATAGTTTCTAGCACAGTTGTTATCCAGCATGCAGGTGGACAATAAATATGGAAAAACTAAATTTTGTTTATATCTACTCAGGAGAAGTAAATCTGAACTTTAGTTTATGATGAAAATAATAAAACATAATTGAAAGAAAGATTATGTTGTCTATACTTTTTAATTTTAACTTAATAATTGAAACAACATATTCGAGTATTTTTTAATTTTGAGTGCCTGATGGCTTTATTTGAAGTGTCCCTCCTAAAATAAATTAGATCCAGTTAGAATTTTGAGTGATATGTATTTATAGTAATAGGCTTTTACATACCTTTTACTTTAGTGAAAACAGCATTTTTCTAGAGTTATATGATTTTCATCTTGATAATCATCTTGAGAAGATTATTAAGTAAACAATTCTCATTTCTTAATTAGAATTTTCAAAGTAAAAACAGGTTTTGAGAACCCCTACTCCTTTACATGTTTTTCTACTTCCTCCTAGGTAACTATTTCATTTGATTTTTATCTTTCAACTGTCTTAAACACTAGATGTTTTTGTTTAACACTTAAAAGAAAAAGACTTGTACAAACTTTTACCATGAATAGAAATTTTACTTACTGACCATTTATGAAATAGTACAATACTTAATAGCCTGAGATCTTAGCCTAATATCTGAACATAGAACTTTTATTTTTTAAATGATTACTTTTATGCACAGACTTAGGCTATGAAATTATGAATAGTGTTAGATTTTTGTCGCTTAAGGCAGTGCTTTATAAATTCTGTTATTTTTCAAAGCAAAAAATGTGTCGATATCTATTGAAAATGTCTTCATATATATATGTTTTAAACTAGCCTGCCTTTTTCTTTCTTTCTTAGGCCAATGGAAGCATTGTTGTGAAGCCCTTATGAAAATTGAGATTATGTCACCACGGAAACCACCTTTGTTCTTGACAAAAGAGGCGACCTCAGTCTACCATGATATGAGTAAGTGGGGTTTGTCTTTTCTAAGCTGCAGGGTAACAAAAACAGCATTGTCCATACTCAAGCAGCTTATTCTGTTGACATTAAAATGCTAAAATTTTCAGAACACAGTCAAAATGAATGAAAAAAGACCATGATTATAAATTAAGGAATTCATGTTTAATAGATGAATTAATACAAAATTAATGAATACACATTTTTCTTAGTTTGAATGCTTAAGATCAAACAAAAATATTAAGGCTTCAAAATTAAAAAGTGTGCACTGAAAGTAAATATTAGCTGACTAGCTGATGGAAATTCTGAAAATATAAACTTGTGGATTCTAAAATGTAATCATGTTCAGTGATTTTTTTTTTCTATATTTTATTTAATTTGTGCTAAAGTAGCATTGGTAAATGAATATTAATAAATGAAAGCTTTCATCTCAGGCCAAAATAATTGGCCAAGTTTAATACTCTGGAAATTTTATAATTTCTATACCTCATTAATATTCCATTTTCCCATACTCTGAAGAGTATTTATTTATCTTTATAGGATTACCTCATTGAAAAGTGTTGTGAACAAGCACAAGTCAATGATAAATTCTAGTCTGTTTTACCACCAATGTCCCTGTACTTACCAATACTTTAAAATGATAGAGTAAAAATGATGTATTTGGATTTACACATTTGAAAATACCAGTGATGCATTTAATAGATTTTTATCTCTGTTTTCTTATTTTTCCCAAGGAACATTTCATCCAGCATCCTTATCACCAAAATGATATCAGAACTTCACTTCACTAGAGTTTTAATTTTGGGTTTTTTTTCTCTATTAACAAAGACTTTGCTGGTATACAGGAAAGAATACTTACCCAGTTATATTTTTCCCAGTTTACACATCAGGTTTTTATAAAAAGGGAATCTACTCTTACCTAGAAGTTAGAATGGATTTTGAATCCAAGAAAAGTTACTTAATAAATATGTAATCTATAGAATTGAAAAACCTCCTGATATAATTCCAATCCTTTGAAATCTGGATTTTACTCATTTATTTAGGAATATATTTCTGTGTATTTATGTGTGTGTGTGTGTGTGTGTGTGTGTGTGAACATGCAGTGCTATTGGTTTGCTTATTTTTATAAGTAAATGCTTGTTAAAAAAAAAAAAACGCTTGCCTGTATTACTCTGTTTTTATGACCATTATAGAAAGCATATTGGTTTGGAAAATAATAACTTAGGTAATGTGTGTACTGCTTTTGAATTCTCTCCCATGTGTTCTTTCTTAAAATTATTATAGGCATTGATTCACCTATAAGACTTGAAAGTTTAACTGATATAATGCAAAAGAAAATAGAAGAGACAAATGGACAGTTCCTTATTGGACAGCATGAAGAATCCTCACCACCTCCTTGGGCTACACTCTTTGATGGTAATCATCAATTGGTCGTTCAGAAAAAGGTATTACCTCCTCCAAGCAAGCTGTTCCATGAGGGGAAAGGGAAAAAGAGACGTGCTCCCCTTCCTCCTCCTGATAAAACTCCATTCAGTTTAGGCACATAGAGCAACTGGGAAAAAACAAGCGTATCTCAGACCTCACATTTGGACACCAAATTATCAACCCTAATGCATCACTTACAGAAACCAGTGGCTGCTCCTCGAAAACCTTCCTTCCAGGAAAACTAGTTTAACTGATGGTGAACACACAGACACTAACACCAGTTTTGAAGTCAAGCCAGTGCCAGCCCCAAGGCAGAAATCTATCAAAGACATTTTGGACCCTAGATCATGGTTGCAGGCACAAGTATAGAAAACCCTTAATGTGGTAAGCATTTAACAGCATCTATAACTGTGAGGCTTAATTCAAAAGCACTACAGATGTAGTAATATATAATTATGTAGGTAAATATGATGATTTGCATCAATAATTAATGATCTATTAGGTATTTAAAATGTTTTATAATGAAGAAATGGATTTCTCTTTTACTTTTGATTTTCAGAATGTGAGTAATTTCCCCAGCAGAGTTCAAGAGGCAGTTTTTAGACAATATCCTAATGGTTAGAAGGGGTAATTTATTCCTAAATTAGTACCAGGCAATGAACAAGCACTAGGCTGAAGAAAGCATTAAACTTTCTTTGGGTAGAGACTGTCTAGTAATATAAAATGTGTTAAATATGAGTCATGTTCTCATTGTGAGAATTTTAATACTAATGGAATGTTTCAAAAGTTTTATTCAAACCACAAATTATAGAATCCACCCAAGAAAATTTCTTCTTAGCATTCTGGAATTCTCATCTAATGGTTCACTGGCTCTCATCTATTGTTTAGCTCACTAGTTAACTCACTGACCTTTCATGTTCCTGGGATAAATTCTAGAATATTAAATTCTTCATCTTTAAAGAGATTTTGAAATGTGCTATTCAGAGTTGTTTCTTTGATGAGCCTTGAAATCCTGTTGAAATTAACTCTTATAAGTGAAGCATAACATTTATTAGTTTAGAGAAAAGATAGAAGAAATGTTTTTACTTCCACTTTTCTGTGCATGGTGCTAATTTCCATTGTGACATTGAAATTTTGGTAAGTGAGTAGCTGATTAACACCTTAAAATTCATTTAATACTTATTTAAAAAGCAGATGGCTGAATCAAAAATATCAGAAAAGTTGGCCATGATTATAATTTTCAGAATTAATCCTTTTAAAAAAGTTTAATTAGATTTCCTTTTTCTACTAAGGTTGATGTCTGCTATTGATATTATTCATTAAAAGCCATATTCTTCTAACAATAACATTGGAATCATTTCCATAGGAGGTAATTTCCATAGCAACTAATCATAGTGACCCAAGCAGGATTATTAAATCAAGTGGGGACTAAATAGTAAGAGGATGAATACCTTAAAGGAAAAAGAAATCCATTTTTTTATAATAATACTTCTTGTAAACAAGAGCTGAACAGTTTTAAAAATCTAATCAGTATTTCCAAATAAAACAGTTTTCCATAAGGTGTCAGCAACAGCACTAAAAATCTCTTATCACACTGAATCTTAAATGTCATTGCAAGCAATGCAAATATAAGAATTAGATTACTGCCCTGTGTATAACCTCTAGAGATCTTTTTAAAGCTCATAAGAACTCTCTTTGGATCAGAACTACATTATCATAAAGTAAAACGAACACTTGATAAACTACAACGTTAATTTAAATGGAGCCTTTCATCATTTTTAGGTAGCAGCCTCTTTTCATTTATATAGAATGATGTAACTGCTAGGTTTCTTTTGTGTTTGCACAGGGCTCCTAGTAGGAATTAGAACTCAAGGGAGTAGTGATACAAAAGGTCTCTTGTGACTGGAGACACCAGGAAAGACACAGTATTTGATAAGAAGGAAATACTACATGCTTGCCTGATATCATATAGAGACAATCACATATATGAAAACCTAAAAAGGTAGGATTAATTTGTTTTTTTCTAACGTGAAGGTTCTTGTAAATTTCTGTTGTGATTGTCAATTTAGTAAATGATGTATTAAAAGTCTAAAGTTTTGATAGTATTTGAATTTTTATTTATTTTTGAAACCTCACTATTTGACATCATGACTGTCCTTGCAACTAAATTAATGAGGTAGAAGATGCTTCAGGCAAAATTGTTTTTGAAACCAGCATCTAAACATATTTTTTTGTTGTTATTGGAACCTTCCTTATAACAAACCAGTGTTAAAACTTCCAAATTATATTATCATTTTTGCTCATGTGTATTATCTAAATAAAGATTTAATCTGTACAGGAAAAAGAATTTACACACACTGAAATTACCTAGCAATTGTGCCGTTGGTGAGGAACTTTGAAACAAGGCTGAAGCCCTTTTTCTTAAAACCGTTTTATGTGAAGCCTGAGCAAGGACCTCCTTCTCCCAAAATTATTCAGGATGTCTCAGGAGGGCCCATCTCGCTGTATGTCACACAGCCTTTGAAATCAGGCTAACGTCTTCAGCTGCACTTCCCTGACATCGTGCTTTCCTCCTAAAAGATATAACACAAAGTTGGGGTTTCCTTCTCCCCTCCTTCCCTCTCTTCTTTCCTTTCTCCTTCCTTCCATCCTTTCACAGTTAAAAAAAAGCTGAAAATGCAAAGTTAAACACTTTGTCAAAGAGTTTGTGAAAAAAAAGTATTTGTTTTCTTATTTCCTAAGCCAGAAATTTATGACAGAGAAAAATATGCTATGTAATAAAAGACATTTCAGGTTTTTATGAGCTGGCTTTTCACATTCCTTGTTTGTCTTTTTGTTTCTTGATATATGAAGACTGTAAACTTGAAACAAAGAGCTGTCAGATTTGATAATAATATTATAATTGGAGAAACATAATAGAAAGAATATATATTTTATGATATAATTCTGATGATCTGAAGATAATGTCTTAGAAATTACATTTACATTTCAAGCTCTGGGATATAAATTACAATAGCATTAAGAATAGTAAATTATCTTTAGTTGTTACCTAGTGGTGAGTTTTTTATTTAAACATCTTACAAGGACAAAGGCATTTTGTTATTAAAAATGCACACCTCCTAAGGAAAATAGTCTTTCAAAATATCAGGTATGCCAACTGTTGGAGAGTTTATTAAATCCTTAACTGTCTGCATTGCCCCCTGACTTCTTTTAAATGGATGTGCATGTGTGTGGAAAACTAAATCCATTTATTATAAATGCCTTATCTTTACCCTTTAGGATCCTACTAAATGCATTTTACCTGGTACTATTTATTAAAAATGGAAGCTTCCTTGATTTAGAGACAATTCGTGTAAGGTAGGTAAAGCAGTAAAATGTTTCCTTAGGCTCATGTTCAGCATCTCAGCCTCCTACTGAGAAGTTAATTAATGCAGTCCAAAATAAAATTATAGGGCATTTTGGTGCTATTTCTGTTAAATGCCATTTGAATGTAATCACCTGTGTTACCATGAATAAGGAACAACCGTACGAGATAGATAGACTTGTACTATGAACAAGAGAAGTGCTTTGGCATTGAAAATATCTGTCCCTGTGGTCAGAATTTATCAAAACTCATTGTCTTTTAAAAGAGTGGATTATTGAACATTAATTAAACTTTGATAACCATTTGCATTCTAGTAGTTTTCTTCATTGTTCCTATATTATTAAACTATAATATGGAGTTGACTTTTTGCATTTAATGTTTCAAAGACATTACTGTTTTAAATGTTTGCATGTTATGTGTTACTGCTTTATTGCTAATAATAGTTACATGATGGATTTGTTATGGATCATGCATATTCTTAGTTAACACTAGAAAAGATGTTATCTTTGGATTTTTTAAAGACAAGATTTCATTTGAAAAGATGGTAGGGTGTGTTATTTTTTTATAACATGCTTGTATAATTGGCATTGTTTGTAACTTTTGTATTTTAATTAAATATGGCTCAAGCTTCTGGATTAAAAAGTATTATATAGATGTCTATTTTTTAAAGTACCAAAGATTGGTAAAAAAGTCAAGGTCATTTGCTTAAAACTTCTATGCATTAAAAAAACTGATTCATGTAGAAATTTTCTAGCTGTTTTCTTAAGGTATCCCCTGTGGGCTAGACTGATGGAAGTAAAGTCTTGTGAAATCAGTTTAATCAGAGACATACTCCATAATAACTGGTGCTAATTATTGTAAGACTACATTTAATAGCTTTAGTATAACTAACATTTATGAAAATGTTTGTATATAACCCTTCTTACAGTGTTCTCTTAAAAGTCCACATATGTTACCTTAGTTTTAGGTTAGTTATACAGATTTTCCCTAAGAGTGTAAGTTATTCTTGAAAATCAATTAGGGACCTAGGATACTCAGTTGCTGTTAGCCACAAGGAGACTCCTTCTTTTAATACATCTCCCTCAGTGATTGCCATGGAGCACCTCAGGGGAGGGTGAGAGAAATGAGCAATCCTGGCTCTGTTTTATTATTTCAACATTTTATTTCTAAATCTGTAAAGTGGCCAGAAATATTTAACGTTTCTTTTTAGAAAAAAACTACCCTTCTTCTGAGGAGAGAGGCCTACTAATCAATGTGCTAATAAGCAAAGTACCTTAAGTTTCAATTAACAAAAATTAAACTATTATGGAAATATTAACAAACATTTTAATGTATCTGAATATAGGAAAAAATACCAATCCTGGCATGTTTGATAATTGCAGAGCTAGGCAAAACTGTTCCCAATCTTAACTGAGAATTATGTTTTAAATTGCAGCAGCTTGCCTTGAGAGATATGATAATTTCTTAATGTAACTACTAAAGGAGAATTGAAAAAATCTTGTATATACATAATTATGCTGTGTCATAAACATGTTTCATAATATCAAAATAGATTGTTTCTTTTCTAAAAAGAAATGTTAAATATTTCTGGCTACTTTACAGATTTAGAAATAAAATCTTGGAAATGGATACTTTTCTATGTTATATTGTTATTTTTTATGTTTGTTTACTCAAAAGAAAACATTTTCTTTTCTGTGACTGGATACATTTTTGTTGAATTTAGCCACCTTAAAAACATATATTTTAACTTGTAGCAATTTTAATTTTATATTAAAGGGGAGAAAGTATTAAGAAGAGTTATCCATCCATTTACCTCAAGCATTAAAACATACATGCTTTATACATACAAAATATAAAATTATTGATTCACATATATACATATACATATGCATTCATGCATATGTTCTATTAAGTCTTCAATCCAGATATTTTCAATTAGTCTTAAAAGATTCTTTTAAAATGTGCTGCCAGGGCTAGCAGAACGCAAGTCCACTCCCCTCTCCACAGCTTACAGAAGGCATCACAGCCCAGCTCCACTCTGTCCCCCCACCCCCGCTACTAAGCACTTCCCTCTGGCTGCTCTCCTCTTTTGGATAGTACATCGACAATCTGTGCAGTTTCTGATGGCTCATCATTTTCTTGTGCTGTTCTCTTTGCCTGGAATGTCTTTCCTCCCTCTTCATGTAGGCTTCCCTCAACTGACCATCAGAAAGCTTTATTCCTTCTTCAAAACAGTAGCACCTCTAAATTCACCAAGACTCATGCTCTCTTCAACTTCTCCACCTACGTTGAGTTACACTCTTTCCTTGTCCCTAATATATCCTCTGTTTCTAGTCTCATCCCTTGTTCATATTTTTGTATTTCCCTATGTAATTGTTTTGTGAATTTACCCCCACGTAACACATTACCATAAACTTACCAACTTAAAAGACTACACATTCATTATCTCACATTTCTTTAGATCAGAAATCTGGATGGGCTCCAGTGCATTCTCTGCTTAGGACTCCACAAGGTTAATATCACAGTGTCTTCCAGGCTGGGCTCTAATTTGGAGGATCTGGGAAAAGTCTGCATCCAGGCCTATTCAGGTTGGCAGAATTCAGCTCCTTATGCTTGTGTATTGGCCAGCGTTACTGTCAACTCTTAGAGACTGCTCTCCAGCCCTTGCATGTGACCCCCATCAGTCTTCAGAGCCAGCAACAGTTCATTAAATCTGGCACATCTTATCTGACATGTGGAGGAGTTGAATCTGTCTCATTCATATCTGACTTTTCCATCCATTACCAGCTGTAGAAAACTGTTTTTTAAGGGCTCACGTAATTAGATGTAGCACACTAGGATCATTTCCCTTTCGATTAATTGAAAGTCCACTGATTAGGAGCCTTAATTACATCTAGAAAAAATCCGTTTTGCATATAATACAATCATGAGTATATATTCATAGGGCAGGAAATCTTGGGGTGCCATTTTAGAATTCTGCCTACCACAAGTTAGAAAAACTTTTCAAGGGCAGGGAACATGCCTTAGTTGGCCTTATAACCCTGTCATAGTGTCATGATAATGAGGGAAGATTACTGGGTATTTATTATATGTAAGGTATTGTGCTAAATTCTTGAATTAACTCACTTAATCCTTGCCAAAGCCCTCCTACTAACCCCACTCAATAAATGGAGAAGACTTGCCCTGGTACACACTGCATGGTAGTTAAGAGTATGAATTCTGAAATTAGACCTGGATTAAGTTCTAGCCCTGACATTACCTAGCTGAACAATTTGAGGCTGATTTTTTCTCTTTTTTTAACTTCATGTAAGTTTTAGGTTGTTTTATTTTTTAACTTTAAAATAAAATTAGTACCTACCTTATAGGATAGTTGTGATTATTAAATAAGGTGATATAACTCATACCCAAGTCCTGGCACAAAAGTTCTTACATTGTTTCTACAGCATGACATACAGCATATAACAAATGTATAAAGAGAGGAATGAGAAGTTAGAGCTGAAACACATAAGTAAATGACTGCCTGAATGAATGTATATATTCTGAAAAGAATTTATAATCCCTGTCCCATTTCATTTTTTGCTTGATGAGAACATATTGGACTTTATAGAGTGTATAAGAATTTAAGAGATTTGTAAAAATGTGTCCAAATACTTATTGTCCCTACACTAGTACTCTATAGTAGGCACTAGTGAGGTTTATAAGATTAAAGAGAATACTTATTCTTGAAATGTTCACATTCTAGCTGGTGGAATCAACCATATTAGAGAATACAGAGACAAATTACTGCTTGAACTTGCTCTCCCATATATCTAACATAAATACATCTATACAGACATTGTAAACAATCCCTACTGTCATTAGTAAACTTAAAAAATTAGTTAAAAAGATTAAATAATGCAATATAAAAAAATAGTCTGTATAGTACAGGTAAGCACCTAATTTTAAGTGCTCTGAGAGATCAGTGAGGGTTATGAGAACTTTTACAAAGGAAATTTTCACCAAATGCAAAAGGCCTTGTATCTTTTTTTTTTATTATAAAGTTATCATTGATATATACTCATAGGAAGGTTTCACAAGAAAAACAGTGTGGTTACTACATTCACCCATATTATTGCATTCCCCCCATACCCCCTTGTAGTCACTGTCCATAAGTGTAGTAAGATGCTACAGAGAGTCACTACCTGTCTGCTCTGTGCTACACTGTCTCCCCCATGATTCCCCACACAAGCCATGTGAACTTACCATAATACCCCTCAATCCCCTTCTCCCTCCCCACCCACCCTCTCAACCCTCCCCTTTGGTAACTGCTAGTTCCTTCTTGGAGTCTGAGGCAGCTGCTATTTTGTTCCTTCAGTTTTGCTTTGTTGTTATACTCCACAAATGAGAGAAATCATTTGTCTTTGTCTTCCTCTGCCTGACTTATTTCACTGAGCATAATA